GGATAATTTGTAATAGAGATATGGGATGAACATGATAGCTTATCTATTTATTTTATGTTCATCATGGAATTAATTGATATGTCTTATTATTTGGATTCATCAGTTACTAGTGTAAGCATGTTAGTCTATATTTCTATTTATGTCTCTTATGGTTCAGTTGTTATGTGCATTGACTATGTATTCTATCAACTGTTGAATGGATTGGATTGTATGCAACGGTATGGGACGGTGACATACCATGAATGGTTTAGTTTCAAAATACTAAATCCAACCTGTATTGGAATAGGGGAATGGATTATAAATAAATCCTACTTATATTTATGCTAAGCCAAAGACGCTGCACAAGCTGAATGACTAGCTGGATTACTTGTTATCTATGTTGAGTCAATGAAGCTGCACAAGCTGAATGGCCGACTGGATTTCTTATGGATGGATATGATAGAATTTTAAATATATTTTTATGGTACCGCGATATGAGCTTGAGTCTCAGAGTCGTCGGTTAGGGAGCGTATATGCAGTAGGATGCGTAGCTGAATATGAGAGGTTGAGGTGTACCCTGTTAGGTCTAAGTACTCATGCCCACCTATGGGTGCGTTTTCGCATGTTGCCTTCTATTCAGGTTGAGACGCTCTCCATAGTCCAGTGAGAGTCCTGTAGTGTGAATATATATATATTTACGGACTATTAGCTATTATTGAGTTGGTTAAAATGTATATGCGTATCGAGTCTCTGCTTGGATTGTAGTAGGATAGAACTTGTTCGTGGGCCTGACCCACTTCTATTTTTCAGGTGTTCGACCGTTCCAATCGTAGGCTTGATCGTGCTGAGCAGAGACCATCACTCACTCTTCTGACGACGTAGGACTTCTCTCCATGGTTTACTATGGATGTTCTTTTAGTAGTTTTCTTTTCAGTTTGGATTATTATTAGGGATCCACTAGAGATGGATTCCCGAGTTATTAAAGTATTGGAGGTTTTTGGAATACCGGATTTAAACATTATTTCTAAAAGGATTTTATTTTAGTTTCTTCTAGCTTTTACTATTTATTTTTATTTCATTTTGTCATCTATGTTTGCATTACATATTAATTGTTTGATATTCTCTCGGATTTGGGCCTGGGCCTGATCAACCCGTGTCTCGGATCTGAAGGTTATCACATGAATGGACAAAAGATAAACTTTGACTGTGGAGATGGGTGTGAGGGAAGAAGATGAAGAACAGTAAACTAATATTACATGCGTATTGGGTGCTAAAAAAAATGGGAAAAGTTGTCTATATAACCAAGAGGTATGTATCTAGAGGCACGATCACAAAAGGGCTATGTTGTCTTTTCAATTTTGAAAGGGCATTACTATTTATAAATTTCAGTTTCTATGTCACGTGAGTTAATTTTGGCCGGAAGTTAGCCGGAAGGGGCAATCTGAAACAAAATTACATAGTTTTAGGGGGTTATTTGCATAATTTGTAGTTCAGGGAGTTTTTTGCATGTTTATCAATAGTTTAATGGGGTTTATTGCACTTTTCCCTAATAGGTATAATAAAACGAAACTCATTTGGGAAGTACGTGATCAGACTCCAGTTTTATCTCTAAGGCTCAATTTAGTAGAGTGGAAATGGGAGGAAAGGGAAGGGAAGGTGGTGGAGGGTGATTAAAAAATTGTGTTTGGGTAAAATGGGTGGAAGGAAAGGAAATGAGAGGGAAGTGTTTGGAGGGTTATGTATAGCTTTATACAGTGATTTACTTATCCTCCTAAAAATGGGAGAAAATGGAAGGAAAGGAAAGGCAATGGCTGATGTAATATTTGTGATGCCAATTTTACCCTCAAAACAATATATATACTAGTTAGCAGTTGCAGAAAGAATGAGAGACGGCAAGCAGTGGCTGAAACTTGCGAACGACGAACCAGAACTGGAACAACGGCGATGGAAACTGAAAGATATGGGTTTTGATTTTCTGAATAATCTGAAATGATATACCGATACGGGTTTTGAATTTTTGATTCTTGCAGACAGAAAGATAAGCTGAAATATATGGGTTTGGGTTTTGAACTTTTGATTCTTGTAGTGCAGAGAGAGAGAGAGATGGCAAGTTCAGAGTTGAGAACGAGAATAGAGATGGAGGCGAGATTAGGGAGGCTGAAATGATTTGCCCTAAATTTTTTTTTTCTTTTCTTGTGGCCCGTATAGGAGACTATATATATATATATATATATATATAATAGAGATGGAGGCGAGATTGGGGAGGCTGAAATGATTTGCCCTAATTTTTTTTTTTTTCTTTTCTTATGCAGGTATAGGAGACAATATATATATATATTAAAATATAAAAGGGTATAATAGTCAATTTATTTAAATAATTCCATTTCTTTTCTTTCATTTTCTTTTTCAAAACATGATTATTATCATTTCCTTTCTTTTCCTTAATTAACCAACCAAACACGATAGGGGGTTAAAATTATCCTTCTTTTCCCTTCCCCTTCCCTCATAATTAATGTTATCCTCTCCCTTCAAATCCACCATACCAAACATACCCTAAGAGTCAGTTTGGTGCAATGGAAAAGGGAGGAAATGGAAGGGAAGGTGATGGAGGGGGATTAAAAATTTGTGTTTGGCAAAAATTGTTGGAAGGAAAGGGAAGGAAAGGGAAGGGTTTGGAAGGATATCAGTATGCTTAAATAGTAACTTTCTTAACCTCCCAAAAATGGGAGGAATTAGAAGGAAAAGGAAGGAGAGACTTTTTGATGCCAAATTTACCCTTACACAAAATCAAAGCAAGAATTACAGACCTTGATAAGTTGATTTAGAAAAAAAATTAAACAAAACCCAAACATACCCATTAGCAGTTGCAGAGGGAGAGGGGGGCAAGCTTGAGAGTTGACAGAGCCAGTGGCTGAAGCTTGCGAACGGCAAACCCGAACTGGATGGGTTTTGATTTTTTGAACAATTTGAAATGATATGCCGATATGGGTGAAGTATACGAATTTCTCTCTTCTGATTCGTGTAAATTTTGTGGTTTGCAGTTGCACAGAGAGAGATTGGGGGGGTTGGGAACGAGAATAGAGATGGAGGGTTAAATGATTTGCCCTAATTTTTTTTTTTTATTTAACTTTTCTAGTGGCCTATCATCCATGGGCCTTATAGCTTATGCCTATTTTTTTTTTCTTTTTCTTTTTTGGTGGCCTTCTTAAATGTATAAATTTATCTTTTAAAATATAAAAAGGCAAAATAGTAAATTTATTAAAATAATTTTCTTTTCTTTCTTTTTCCAAACATGATTATTATTCTTCCCTTTTTTTTTTTTTTTTTCATTAATCAACCAAACCCGATATGAGGTTAAAATTATCATTTCTTTCTCTTCCCTTTCCCTCATAATTAATGCTATCCTTTCCCTGCAAACCTGCTGTACCAAACATAGCCTAAACGAAAAATAATTTTTAACTACAGACATTTTACCATGGTTCCGCAATATGCCACTGACGTGAGAAAAGCCAAAGCAACAGTAATATTTGGTTGATCCTATATTTCTATGATTCAAAGAATCCTTTCTTATTTGATCCCTTTGAATTCTATATTTGAAGTTGTGATCGGATCTATTCATTAACAAGATTCGATTCAATACATTTCTTATGTACTATTTCTACCAAGGTCCCTTCAAATTGGTGGTTACAAAATTACTTTCTACCACGGTTTAATATGCACCACGGTCCAATTGGAACTGCAGTAGAAATTGTATTTTATCATGGTTTTTTTTCCGTGATAGAAAGTGAAATTATTTTCCCCGGTATTATTCCCGTTAGTAATTGACGAAAACAAAATCAAAATAATAATAATAATAAATCTGCAGTAACACAAACACGGTCCAACATAAAAAAGCCCTTAACACAAAATTTTTTTGTCTTCGAAGAAAAGCCCTAACACAAAAATCTTCTTGTGTACATCTCGCTGCAAAGGGGCTTTCCATCGTCGTCTCCGTCTCCGGTCGCCATCGTCGTCTCCGTCTCCGGTCATCATAGAAGGGACCCCTACGCCGTAAATGATAACACACGGCTCAGGAACGAAACCCTAAATCCGGAGATTGTGTTTTTAATTTCGTTCTCAGTAAAAAATAATAGGTATGTAATATCTTCCCTTTCTCGTACATATGACCCAGATTTCATCATTTTTCGTTGCTTTGCCCAAATCTTTGAAAGTGGTGTTCGTTCTTTTATTGACTAGTTGTTCGTTCTCTGGGGCTGATGAGATGTAGCTGTGTTGATTGAGAGCAAAATTCAGTTCTATAAAGAAGCGACCCTTTGTCTGATCGGTAAGCAAAGCCTAACTTCTCTCTGTTCAATTCCTTCCTCTTGCTTCCTTTTTCACACACACACTTGCACACACTGACACACACATAGTCTTGATTTCATTAGCTAAGTCACATACATGTTTTAGTTTTCTTCTAGATGACAAACCAATTGTAAAGAAGATTTTTAAATTTGACAGACTTTATTTTGTGGAACTTTTTTTGTATTAAAGAAAAAAGAAGAAATTCCTGATATTTTGTGGAACTGAAAACTCCTATTTTGTTCAATTGACCTCTGAGTTAACATTTTTTAATATTTGCCTTGTGAAAAAAATATATATATTCTTGTCCGCGTGTTTTTGTGGTGTCATTGTCAGAGTAAGTTTATTATTCTCTCTAGACACACAGGGCTCATCAAAGTTACTCTCTAATTATAGACGCATAGTGATCCCTTTGCTACGTCATTTGATTTCGTTGCATTTTCGACAGATCTGCGATTTTGATTTCTTGCTTTTGAGCTTCGAAGTGGAAAATATTGATTGAAAAAGGTCTGTAATATCAAATTCATATACATATATATATATACGTTTCGTGGAGGTTTCAAAAAATTTCATTATTTAACCTCTGTAATAATATACATTGACGCTCCTATATACGTTGTATACATTTTAGAACGGAAATGTTCAATTAAATGGAATTTTTACATTTTAGTTTTTGACAGGGTGATTTTGATTTTGATTTTGATTGTGCGAACTTTGAAGCAATTAACTTTCAGAAAACAGCAGGTAATTTCTTTCCGTGCGTGCGTATTGTGAATTTTTTATTTTTTATTTTGATTGATTCATATCCCTTTTGAAATCTCTTCCCTTAGTTGGTAACAAGACTTTGTTAGAAATATTGTTCATAGGAACCAACCATCTGTGCTACATGATAATGATGATACAGTATGTGATATAGAAGTTTGTGCAGTACATACATACGTATAATATGTATGCATTTCTTTGGTTCTGAAACTTATATTATATTTTGGTTCAGAAATTTTAAGCAATGTGAGTTATGTTTTTACCACAGGTGTGACTTTGGAAAATGGAAACACGAAACATGTGGGAATTAGAATTGGAAAATGTGATGCAAAAATACTATGAGAAATACGCTAGCAAAATCTGAATATGATTAGAAACCTTATTGGAATGATGTAAAACGCGTGAATGATGCCGAAATAGATGAAGAAATTCAATTGTTTGTAGATTATTTTTAGGTAATTAATTGTTAGTAGAATTTATCAAATCACTGTATCATATTAAATGTTGTTTTTTTTAGGATAATAACCTTGACGTCCCTGAGGTTTGGGCTAAAATCCCCGGATGGAACTTTTTAAATAGTTGTGATCGACCTCCATTGAGTTTTATGAAAGTATTGATAGCCAACACCATGGACATCTGGTGAAGTCTGCTAAATAAATTTACTTTAAAATATCAAAATTAGAAATTACACATACCACACGCACTGACACACACATACCACCGCCATTTCCTTGTCCCACAGCCACCTTCTCTCTCTCTCTAATCAACCTCCAGCACCACATCCTTCCCCCGCCGTCACCTTGTTAGCTCTTTCTTTTTGTCTCTTTGACTCTCACAGTGCTCAGCAAAGAAGACCCTGTGGTTCACAACCTCACAATACTATGTGAGTTTAAACCATGGTTGTCAAAATCGCGATTTTGAGTTGTCAATTTTAGAAGATAGAATTAAAAGGGAAAAAAAGAAAAGTAAAAAGAAAAGAAAAGAAGATGACAAATACATTAAAAACAACAATAATATTGTGTATAATACAACGAAACTCATTTCCGAGAAGAAGAGATGAAGCTGGAGTCTGATTATTCTAGACACAATCTTTGGCGGCCACATCATTCTTTACTATTTTACCTCAAACCAAAAAAGAATTAAAAAAATAATTTAAAGCTGTAAGCCTATACCTATGAAGCACCGATACGTCAAAGAGGCATGACGTACGTGTCCGACACGCTCCAGAGCGTGTCCCTTCTTTTCATTTTTGTTTTGAGTTCAGACACGTCGCCGGACACACCATCGGACACCAGGACGGACACGGCTGTTTGGGCTTCGTTTACACAGAGATGTATATAATATACAATAATTATATATGTGAATATATGTGTATCCATTCAGAAAGATTCTGAAGTTGAGATAATACATAAAATATCTAGATTGAGGGGATGGGGTAATCGCTGGAAGAAAGAGAGTCTGAGAGCCGATACAGGAGATGAATACAGTCTTGAGAGGTAACAGTGCATGAAAGAAGGAGATTGAGGAGGAGTGGGGGGATAAAATCAATCTCATCTTTGTTTTCTAATTCGTTTGGTTACAAGGATAGTAAATGGCCTTTTGGGACATATTGTTATATATCTTCTATTAGAGTATATTTTAATGTTTGGTTACGGGGATAGAGGATGCACCTTTTGGATATATTGATATATATCATATTTTGGAGATATTTTATTGGAATATGGGATTGAGTTATCTGGTGGGCAAAATTTATATGGTTTATGTTTAATTGTTTATAAATATAATTTATAAATTGATAAAAATAAAATTTTATGTAAAATAAAAAATTATATTATTATTTTATTAACGTATCCCTGCCGTGTCCGTGTCTTATTTATTTATTTTTTTATTTGCCGTATCCCCGTGTCCGTATCAACCCAATAATGAAAAAATTTGTGATTTGCCGGGTTTAAGAGAGAATGATAGAAAGAGGATTAAGAAAGAGAAGTAAACAAAGAAATAAAGAGGGTTAGGGTTTTGTTAGAAAAAGAATTAGGGCTTAGTTACTAAAAATTCATAGAAGAGAAGAATTTCGTGGAAACAAGTGGAAAAAAGAAAAAGAGAGAGAAAAAGAATTTTGTTGTGAAAGGAAAAAAGAAGTAAATAGGGCTTGTGAAGAAGAAGAAAGAAAAAAAGAGGACAAAGAATAAGAGAGAAGAGAGGGGAGAGAGAGAGAGAGCATTCACCGGGAGTAAAGCTTGTTTGGTGGGAGAACAAGAGAGAGTCAAAGATGTTCGTGCAAGGGTGTGAACAATTGAACTAAAATATAAGCATGTGTTGGATATTAAATTGTTTTAGAAAACAACATTTAAGTAATTATTTAATGACCCTCCTCATATTTACACTTCAACCTAGCTTTCTTTCTAAAAATTTCTTAAAATCCCCAAGTGCCTTACTTCTTAAAAAAAATGAAAAAATCCCCAAGAATGGGACACGCATTTCGGACACATATCCATGGCGTGTCCGCACCATGTCCATGCCTTGTCCGTGTCGTGTCCAAATATTCAAAAAAATAAAAAAAAAAATTCCAACACGTTTTTTGGTGTGTCCAACACATGTTGGGGCGTGTCCGTGTCCGTGTCCGACGCGGATTCTTTGCCCTTTTAGGCGTGTCCGTGCTTCCTAGAGGAGGATTGACCTATAATATGGTACCTCTAGGTGTAACCTTCTGATTCTATCCAAGCAGCTTTTTTATTTTTATTTTTTATAAGAAAGATGGTATTAGAAGCTTTCAAAAGGGGAATGCAGCCCAAAATATAGAAGAAGATCCTAAAAGGCCCCTAAGCTCTCTGAATGTCCAAAAAAATCAGCCATCTCCCCCAAAGATTTACAATTCGTCCCAGTAACCCAACAAAAAAGAGAACTGAGGGAAAAAAAATTTCAACACCCCAATAGGAGTCTCCTCGCCGTCAAAAAGATCTCCTATTACGTTCTCTTCAAAGACATCACCAAAGGCACAAGGGTGCCACCCTCCATGAGTACGAGCTTGGGATCCCACTATACATCCCTCCAAGCCTCAATCAAGCCAAAAGAGGTGCCAGGCATGACCCAAGAAACCCCAAACAAAGAGAAGAGCAAGCCCCAACTGTCCTTAGTAACCGGGCAATGCAACAAAAAATGATCAACGGTCTCCTCATCCCTCTTGCACATACAACACTAGTTGACCGCAGCCTGTCTCCTCCTCAAATTGTCAAGGGTCAAAATCTTCTCCAAAACAACCGTCCAGCAAATGAATGCCACCTTAAGGGTACAAACCAAGGAATCAACCTCACCCACAGTCACCTTTTGGTGGTACAGCGACGCCAAAAACCCAAGAACTTCATCCAGATCCCAATCTTGATAATGCCTCAAGAAACGCCCATCCCAAGTCGTCCTCCCACCATCAAGGCAATAGCAGCCGGCAACTAAAGCATGCCTATCCATGGCAATCCTGAAGACTCACACATGCCAACGCATAGTGCCCACACCATCTGTCCTGTCCTCCTAGAACAGGATAAAAGAGCTTCCTTGAGCCCTGAACCTGATGTGTTTATAGAATTCATCCGACACTTTCCTTACGAATTTCCAAACACTCACCCCACCTGGAATCCTCACCTCGAGGGAGCACCATCCACCCCTCTCCTCTCCAAATCTCTGAGCGATAACTCTCCTCCAAAGCCTATCCCTCTTAACTCCGAACCTTTAAAGCCACTTCCCCAAGAGAGCCTTATTAAAAAGCTCCAATCTCTGGATCCCCAAACTACCTTACTAAAGTGGCCTGCAAACGTGCTCCCAATGGACAAGATGGTACTTGAACTCCTCCCCCAATCCACTACAAAGAAAGTTCCGCTGAAGTCTCTCAATCCTCATAGCCACAAAGGAAGGAATTTGAAAGAGGAAGAGAAAATATCTAGGAAGGCTCGAAAGCGTACTCTTCAAAAGGGTAATCTTCCCGCCCTTCGAGAGATAGTATTTCTTCCACCCCACCAGGCACCAGCCTCCTCTCAACCCTCTCTACAATCAGGTCCCAAGCACTAACAATCGTCGAAGATGTCCTTAAGGGTAGTCCCAAGTAGGGATGGCAATTTGACCCACCCCTGCGGTTACCCGTCCCACCCTGCACCGTTTTTGGCGGTTTTAGGGGACCGTTTTGCTTATTTGAGCGGGGATGGTTTGATGTAATAAAAACCCGCACGGATTTGGTGCCCGCCGGGGGGGGGGGGGGGGGGGGGGGGTTGCCTCGCTCCGTTTAGATAGGCAAATTACTTAAGTATCCTTATTTCATTAGTATATATATTTCTCATTATATATTAAGTACCTTATATAACAATATTAAAGTAACAAATGAATTTGATTAAAAGAAATTTTGCAATGGTGAAGAATTGAAGACGAGGGGAAAAAAAAAAAGAAAAAAAAAAGAGCAAATCTATTTCAACAATAAATAAATTTTGGTCTTAAACGGGGCGGGGCGGGTACCCGTGGGGGTAAAAATGTTAAACGGTTACGGGGATGGGGTGAAAAGTTTTCCTTTTTTTGCGGTTTTGGGTGGGGACGGGAGTGGGATTTTTAAACAGTTGTGGGGGCGGGGGAGGGTACACCCGCCTAAACCTGCCCCCGTTGCCATCCCTAGTCCCAAGTATGAAATGGGGAAGTGGCCAACATTGTATCCCAAAGTATCCGCCAAAAGAGAAATGTTTGTAACCTCTCCCGCTGGAACCAACATGCTTTTCCCAACATTCACTTTCAGGCCTGAGACAACCTGGAAACAAACGATAACATAACGCAAGTATCCCATCTAAGCCTCACCCATATCACAATGCACTAAAGTATCATCTGTTGGGTTATATCCAGCTGATTAGGGGGTCTCTACCCACCTTGAAACCTCTAATGAAGCCCAGATCCATTGCCCTCCTTATCAACCCACTGAGAGCCTCCATCCTAACAATGAACTGAAAAGGGGAGAGCAGATCTCTCTGTCTCAAACCACACGAGCTCCTAAAAAAACCAGTTAGAGAGTTCACGAGGACTGAGAACCTTGCCACGGAAATGCAGAACTCAATCATTTCATCCAAGTCACCTCGAACCCCGTCCTCTCCAACATGTTTTGTAAGAAACTCTAGCTCACGTGATCGTAAGCCGTCTCAATATCAAGCTTACACAAACTCTTCATTCTAGTGTCCACACACTCACTAGCAATAAGCGCCGAATCAAGAATCTACCAACCATCAACAAAAGCGTTATGAGATTCTGAGATGATTCCATTAGGGGTACACAAAGAACCGGTGGAACCGGAGAATTGATCGGAACCGAACGAACCAATGCTTCAATTTTGGTTCCTCACTTGTTCAGTTCCGGTTCCAAATTTGTGGAATCGTTAAGGTTCGGTTCCTATTCCAGACCCTTTGGAACTGAACTGATTATATTATATTATATATATATATATATATATATATATTAATCATATAATTACAATGCATAATGATAATTACATAAATTTGTTGGCCATAAGAGCGACAAAGACCCACCCATCAGTATTATCTTGACCATTGTGTAATATCACATAGGATAGGGATTTATTGTTGAAAAAGGAAAAAGTGATAGGAGTAATATCCTCTCTTCTATCTTATCTTTAGTAGAAACTTCAATCATCATTCTACATCAGTCGACAACAATGTAATTAAAATAGTGACATTTCATAATTACAAATGATAAAGTAAAAGAAGATTAATTGCTCTTTTCTATTTAACTAATTGACTCCCACTAAAACCAATAAATAAAATAATCAAAATAAAGAATTTATAAGAATCGACTTATTTCCGTTCTTAGTAGACTCCATAGAGAAAGGGAAATTGGGTCCCTTATGAACTAGAATCAATCATTTTTTTTGAAGTAGTAAACAAAATTATTCTCAAATTTTATATAATGGGAATTGTGGAACCGAACTGAACCGTTCTCAACGGTTTGGTTTTGATACCTTGTCCCAACAGTTCCGGTTTCAATTTTCTAGGAATCATTGGGAATGGTTTAGTTCTGGTTCCGCAAGGAACCATACCGACTTGAACCGTGTGCACCCCTCGATTCCATCCATAACACTTCTCATTCTCCAGGCTAGGACTTTAGCTATTAATTTATAGATACATCCCATTAAACTAATAGGTCTTAAGTCTCTTAAATCTAATGCTTTTCCCTTCTTGGGAATAAGGGCAATAAAGGACGCATTGAGACTTCTTTCAAAGCACCCCTGAGAATGAAAAGTGCCCCATCACATCTCTCCTGACCACCTCCCAATGGTGAAGAAGAAAACGTAAAGAGAAACCATTCGGGCCCGGGGATTTATCCCCATTGGAACTTTTTTGCGCCGTAAGCACTTCTTCCTCTTCACTAAACAGACGCTCCAAATAACCACTGTCCTTGGTAGAAATTGGGTTGAATGCCAACCCTCCCAATAAATGTCTCTAACTGTAGCTCTCAGTGAACAAACTCTGATATAATGAGGCCACAACCACTCTCCTACACACATCCTCCTCCCTATTAAGCTTTTCTCCTCCAACCTGAATCCTCCCAATACGATTTCCCCTCTGATGAGCATTGACAGTCTTATGAAGAACCTCGTATTCCATTCACCCTCCTTAAGCCATAGAGCACGAGATTTTTGATGCCATGGGATTACGTGGGACATGCAATTTCGACGCTCTTTTCAGGATTGGGAGGTGGACGAGGTATTTGTTTTTTTGGATCTGTTGTATCGACAAGAAACAGTTGGCAGAGGTTGTGATGATATGACATGGATTCCCTCTTCCCATGGTCGCTTCGAAGTTCGATCTTTATTCTTATGTCTTTCTGATTTTGATATTGTTGATTATCCGTGGAAGACTATCTGGCGTTCTATGGCTCCAAGTAGGTGGCATTCTTTGTTTGGATCGCTGTATGGGGTAAGATCCTAACAATTGATAATCTAAGGAAAAGGGGTAACTGTCTTGTTAACTGGTGTTGCCTTTGCAAACAAGATGGTGAGTCAGTTGCTCATATTCTCATGCATTGTCCTGTGGCGAGAGATTGTTGGAATCTTATTTTTTGTCTGTTTAGTATGCGTTAGGTTATGCCTCGTTATTCTAAGGATTTGATTCGTATTTGAAGAGGATGTCTTGTGCGTAGTGCTATTCGCGATTATTGGAAAGTAGTACCATATTGTGTCTGGTGGTGCATTTGGAAGGAAAATAATAGTAGAATGTTCGAAGGGAAAGAATTGTCCACGGCGATTCTGAAACTCCATATCATTCGTTGTCTTTTCAATTATGTGAAAAGGAAGTCATGTTCCTCTTCCGAAGATTTAATTATTTTTTTTGGCTTCTTCAGGGCCTTAAACCCCGGTTCCACTTTTGTTTAAGGGATGCGTTTCCCTATCGAACGCCTTGTTAATTTTTTTTTTTTTTTTTTGATAAGTAGCAATTATTCGCTCTGTTATTCGAATGCCTTTTTAATTCAATTATTACTTATCAAAAAAAAAAATCCTCTGAAATAGCAATCTCCGCTTTGCATTGCTCCCTCCGAATCCTCTCTGCCCTCTCTCCTATCAATCTCTGCGATGTCAGATAGAGCCTTGTTCTTTATCCATCCCAAATTCTCAAAAACCTCCTTATTCCACCTCTTTAAGTCGCCCTTTAGCAGACGAAGTTTATTAGCCAGAATGAAACTCGGAGTGCCACTCACCTAGGGATGGCAATTTGACCCGCCCCCGCGGTTACCCGCCCCACCCCGCCCCGTTTTTGGCGGTTTTAGAGGACAGTTTTGCTTATTTGGGTGGGGATAGTTTGATGCAATAAAAACCCGTGCAGGTCTGGTGCGGGGGCGGGGAGAGGTCGCCCCGCCCGGCCCCGCCCCGCCCGGTTTAGATAGGCAAATTACTTAAGTACCCTTATTTCATTAATATATATATTTCCAACTATATATTAATTATCCCATAGAACAATATTAAAGTAACAAATGAATTTTATTAAAAGGAAAGTTGCAATGGTGAAGAATTGAAGATGAGGAAAAAAAAAAAGAAGAGCAAATCCATTTCAACAATAATTGAATTATGGTCTTAAACGGGGCGGGGCGGGGCGGGTATCCGCGGGGCTAAAAATGTTAAACGGTTACGGGGATGGGGCGGAAAGTTCCCTCGTTTTTGCGGTTTTGGGCGGGGACAGGGGCGGGGTTTTTAAACGGTTGCAGGGACAGAGGAGGGTACACTCGCCCAAACTCACCTCCGTTGCCATCCCTACACTCACCCTATACCCCTCCCACCAATCCCTGACTCTCTACGTAAACTCCTCCGCCTAAAGCCATATGTTCTCAAACTGGAAGGGCGTGCTCCTCCTCCGCATGCCCCTGCAATCTAGCACTAATGGAATATGATCAGAAGTGACTTTTAGTTAGCGTCGCCTAGGTCACATCTGGAAACTTCTCCTCCCAGTCACCCGAAATAAGAAAACGATCCAATTTGGCAAGGTAGGATTCTGCCTGCCGCTAGACCAGGTAAAGGATATACCCTCCATGGGCAAGTCAACCAACTGAAGGTCGTCAATAAACTCAGAAAATTGCTCCATATCCGTCATCCACCTCCCTCCAGTAGACCGCTCCAATGGGACCGAACCACATTGAAATCCTGACCCGCGCACCAAGGGAGATTCTATCTACTACAAACAAAGCGGACCTCATCCCATTACAACCGTCTTTTGCCGTCCTCAACAGGGCCATAGACTCCAGAGAACACCTGGTGAAACCCATCCTCCTCCATAGAGAAAGTGCACGAGACTGGACACCCACCTCCTGTCCCACATAACGAGGATCCGCCCAGAGGTACCTGTAACTCCCAACATCTCCCACCCCAAGGACTTTTCACCATCCCATCCGAAACTGACTCCATCTTTTGTCTCTTGGAGACACACCACATGAGCTCCCCATTTCCGCACGGCCAACTACACCACCTTTCACTTGTCCGGGTCATTGAGACCTCAGACATTCTAAGAAATAATGCAGAACATCATTTGGAAACAATCATGTTCCACCTTCCTCCTCCCTCTACCCCGCTCCCACTCCATCCCACTTCTCCTCTCATAATTTATATATGAAATTAGGTTCTGAACTTCCCTCTCCCCTTTCCACAAAGCGTTGTTCTTCCTCCCTACCCCTTCCACCCATAGCCTGATCATTCTTCCCCTCATAAGTCATCCCTAAGCAAGAACTGATCCCCTCAATATTATCCCTAAGCGCAACCCTCCCCACAAGAAACACCCTCACCCACACCTAAGGCATTCTCCTCCCTCTCGGGAAGCACCATATCCAGAGGTTACATCATAATCCCTTCCGCAGCCGCCGCCTCTTCTCAAGGCAGAATATCAAGCTTGGGCAGGGCCTCCATAGCACACTCAAAACGGAGTACAAGCATGCACATACATTAATATCCAGAGGTTGCATCATAATATTACTCTTGATTTATTGTAATTTTTCTTTCTGCACATACACCAGCATGCACATACATTAACATCCCACTACTTTTGTTTCAAAAAAAAAATGATTGAAATAAGCATTTACTCTTTTTTTTTTGGTTCCGTCAGAACTTAGTTGTTAATCTGTAAAGTTCTCTTGTCTTGTTTAATTTGGACATCCAAACTTGTGTTGGTAGGGATTTTCAGAATGTCTGCTTATACCATAATGACCCAAAAAGGTAGGCAGCTGAATGACCTGCAAGAACGCCTCAAAGGAATTCATGATGAAGTTGAAGTAAGAAGCAGGATGATTGAACAAACGAAAAGAAAAATAAAACAGTTGGATGTTGAAGATGAAAAATCAAACAAAAGGCGAACATCATTGGATAACATGAAATTTTTGAGAGTTTCAGACTTGGATAAGATTGAAAATCTCGAGAGAGTTACGAGAAACACTGAAATCCAAGAGAATAGTAGGTATGGGGAATTGATGGAAGACTTGAAGAGGAGTGCTATGGCTCTAAATTGTGAGGTACGCGTTACAAACAAGGAAGAAGTGGATAAAGCGAAAGACTTGCAAAACTTGACTGGCCTTCATATCACTGTTTTTGTCTCCTCTGAGAACTTTGAACTACTCAAAGAACACATGGATGGAATGACTCGCATGGATGGAATGACTGTTAATATAACGAGCCAAGAAATTGATCAAGCAAAAAGAAAGCGTAATGAAGGTGATCAGCCAGAAACGTCTGCTAAGCGCTCAAGGGACTAGAGGACTGACTTTTCAATCATTGATACGAGGAAATGTACTGTGGGTGAGGACAGCAAATTGTTTCAATGTTTCTTTTTTGATTTTCTTGAGACTGTTTCTACATGTTATTGAGGTAGAGGGGCCTGTCCTGCTTCCTTTCTGCTTGTTTGTTAATGTTGCTTAGGAGAAAAAAAAAAACACTTTGCATTAGCTCATGAAATACTTCTTGCACAAGTCACTTTAACCAAACAATGTTGACAATGTTGTTGTTTTAATTAATGAGTAATGGTTCCATTATATAAGAGGAAGTTTTGTAAAAGTAACATTTTGAATTGGTAAGACACGGATGTGACATTTGGGAGCACCGAATTGGCGATAATTTCTGAAGTAAATTTCTTTCAATTCCAAATTTAGGGTGGCAATTCGGTTCCCCCAAACATAGGTCTATTTGGGCAGTGTTATAAATGTTCGATTAATCTATAGAGAAAGACATGCATTTGCAGGGCATGGAAGATTTTTGGTCTGCCATACAATCATACAGTGGCTGCTATCAGTTTAAACTGACACTATTTGGTGATATGGTTTACATCAAGGTTCAGTGTAAAATATTTTTTGTTTTTTTTCTTTGTGTTTTTTGGTATTTGACTGTCGTTAAATATTTACGAAAAAATATATACATTAAAACATAACAAAAATGATATATTCATTATTTTTCGACAAGTTATTTTATACGTTTTATTCGAAGGATTAGATCTCAATTTCAACCTAAATTTTTACCAAACATTAGAAAAATATATATATATATAGTACCTGAAAGAAGAAGCAAATGGAGCCTACAACCATGATCCATACAATAGTTAGATCAGATCAGAAAATGTGGGATCCAGTGGAAAATGACCCAATAGAATCTCCTCGTAGTAAAGCTCCAGGTAGGCCTAGGAAAAACAGCCAGAAGGGTAGCAGATGAGCCTACTGTACAAGCCCAGTTAGCAGGGCTCTGACAGCTAGGTGCAAGCTCTGCAATCAGTTGGGCCACACTATAAGGGGGTTGTTAAAGAGCTCCGGTCAATGGCTCTCAACAGCATAGTGGCGATGTTGTCCAAGTGATCGGTTAGACCTTAAGCGCTCCTACTCTATCATTTTAAGGTTCGATGGCTCTCGGCAGCAGATATTTAAGAGACTTCGTTAGCAGCAGTAAAAACGTTAACTTTGTTTCTATGTCACTTAAACTATCCGTTTTTTTTTTAACAAAATGATCTATCTTAAAAGTTTATTTTTCTCTTTGACTGAATTAAGCAAAATAATTACATAGGCAGTAAAAAAATCTCGAATGTCACTTGAACTACCTTTTTTTAAACAAAATGATCTATTTTAAAAGTTTATTTTTTTCTTGATTGAATTAAGCAAAATAATTACATATGCATTGAAAATCATTGTTTAGGGCCAATCTCTAAACTCTTATTTTAAAATACCAAATCATCATTTTTAAATCAAATAATTTATTTCACCCTAAAAATTCAACAAAAAACACACATTATGTCAAAAATTTACAAATAATAAATAAAAATGAAATGAGCCCATTTATTATTAATTGTATTTCAAATCAAGCCGTTGTTATGACTTTATATAGTTAAATACCCCAATTGTTATGACTATTCAGTTTTATGTATTTCACCCCCAATTGATTACAATTTGCATCAACAAAATTATGATAATATTCATGTGTATTAATTTTTTTTTAGAATTTTAAACAAGTAAAGTAGAAGTGAAGTATTGTACTATAATAAATAAATAAATAAATAAGAGTTTGTAGGGCATTTTAGACGTGTATAATGATTTTGAATGCATTTGTAATTATTTTTCTTAATTAAATTAAATTAAAAAATAAAATCCTAAAATAGACTAATTTATTATTTAGGACTCCTAACTTATTTAAATGTAGTTTTTCTTTTTATTATTTGTTTATTTATTTTTAAAATTCATTTTTAAAAGGTGATGAAGTATTGTTAGGTTACAATGTCTTTGATATTATTTGTCGAACTCTGATTTATTTATTTATTCTCCAGTCATTTTTAAGTACTCAATTCACATTTCTTTTTTTAGAATTTTAAACTGCCGTAATTTTGAACTTTAGCTAAACTACATGTGCACAGAGGGGAGAGGCACCACTGTTAGGGGTGGCACAGGGAGAGCAAATTGTAGAATTATAATATTATTGTCTTGTATGCATATTTGTATTGTCTAATATTATTAGAATTATCAATAAAATTTGATGGGTTATTCTTAGCGTTTTATAATTTTCTTGCATATTCCCAAACAATCTAAAATCAAAAGTGTTCTTATAAAATATATAGTACATGTTTATGTATCTATTGTTATAATTACATGCTCACCATGTATTGGCTAGTTATATGGAGAGCTGAATTTCTTGCACCGTTCTTACTGTTAATGAGACTTGTTTGGCTGGGATTTTATATACCATATTTGTCATGCCAAGTATAAGTATTAATTTGTGTGTATAACATGGAGTGTACATGGTTTGGATTGAACCGGTTTGAAAATATTTTGGAATCAAATTATTTTTAACGATTCTATTAAAATTAGAACCGAACCGAATCGCGAAACCAATAGAATCGAACTGAACCAAACTACGAGAAAACGGTTTGATTCGGTTCGGTTTCACGATTTTAGGCTTTTTATAATTCAATCCAATATATAAATAAAATTAAAAATATATATTATATAGAATATATATTTTCCATTATAATATATATTTTTTATTATTTATTATGATATAGAGTTGATTGGTTAAAAAACTAATTTTACTATTCTATTATTTATGTAATACCAAATATATATACAATTTATAAAACGGTTCAGTTCGGTTTGATCTTCTAGAACCTCAAGTGGTAACCAAACCATTAATAAATCGGTTCTATATTTTGTAACCGGAACTAAATCGTAAATAAACCAAACATATCCTATCAGTCTGATTTGATTTAGTTTGATTTATCGGTTCAACCGATTTTTTGTGCTCCTCTCCCTTTCTCTATATATATTTTTGTCATTGACAAGAAACTTACAAACACCACTCACACACTTACTTTGCTCATTTGAAGATTCGAACGCTCATCATCCACTTTGGGAGATAGAGGAAATATCATTATTAGGCCACAAGGTTCCCCTTGGTTTTCTAAAATAATATACACGCCCCTGAAAACAACTTTAATATACATGCTCCTGAAAATACTTTACATTTAAAATCTATCTACTACTAGTGTTAAATCACGTCAACTAATTTAAAAAAAGTTTGAAAACTGCACCGTTTTGATATAAAATAAATTTACCAAAATTTAAAAACTGCACCTTGTGAGATATTATTTGGCAATTATTGTTAACAAAACTAGTCCAAGTTGAGTTGTAATTCAAGTTACTTGTAATGCAAGTTATCAAGATCTGACGGAGACTATCGAATTGGAAGGCTCTTGGGGGATTTTCTTTCTATTTGATAGGAAAAAGAAATAGGAAGGGATGGCTCTTTCATTGCATTGATAGAAGTCTAACTAGAAAAAGAGCTGTCTATTACTTTGAGAAGAGAATCGTTGGTTTGACCGACGAACTACGTGGGAAAATGAGCCTTCTTTCTTTGATTTTCAGCAAGAAAGTAACAATTCCATTCTATCACAGAAAAAGAAGAACAACATGTTAGGAAGAAATCCAAAAAGGTTAAGACACATTTCATATTTGGTTAGTTTCAGAATATACCAAAAACAGTGCCTAGAACCTAAGGAATCAAGTCTGGCAGACTTGAACAGGTTCATGATTCTTGGAACCGGTCCAAGCCATTTGAATTTGGCCTAGAAATCATTCTACCATCCTTGAACCGGTTCCTAATTTTTTGAACCAATTCAAGTCTTCAACATTGGCCTCGAAATTTATTCTGCTATACTTGAATCGATTCAAGAGTCCTGATAGCATATGGAAAGTTCAATTTCCTGTTTCAGATTTCTCTCCTAATTGGTCTAGAATTGTTCCAAGTCATATCCACGAGTTTTATCATATTCCTAGAGGGACTAGGGCATTCTAAAACTCTATACAAACCTTATCAAGAAGTTGAAGACAAGAAGTAAAAGCGATCATACTTTGAAAGGGTTGGAGCATTCGAGAAGTGTTGTCTAATTTACCTACTATTTTTCTACAAATATCAAGCATAAGCATGAGGTCAAGTTGCTGTTGGACGGGGAGTCGCAAAGCCAGATGATTGTCAGCAGTATTATTTTATATTGCATGATATTGATTTTTAAATTGCTAAAATAAAGAAAGTTGATAAAGACATAGATCTGTTTTAAAATAATCGAAACTTTCAAACATATTCATGCGTACGACTCGCACACCCTTTATTAAGAAAAATTCATCATAATCTAACAAAGTTTAATGTTGTTATCTCTCCTTCATCTTTTCCAAATAAAGATCCTCCCTCTCTGCTCTCTCTCATTCTTACTATTAGGGAATATAAGACATGTAACTTTTATGAGTAATAGTAATAATTGGAAAAAAGTATATATATAAAAGGAAAAAAAAGCCCTATATATAGAAAAGATGAGAGAAAACGTTGGTCAAGTTAAAAGAGAAACAAAGACCATCGTTTAAAGTATGGTGAATTTTTCTTAATTCAAAAGGTGTAGTTTTTAAATTTTCCTTAAACCAAAACGGTGCAGTTTTTCACCATTCTTTAAATTAGTTGACATAGTTTAACGTATATAAATTTTAAATATCACATATTTTAAAAAATATTTAATTTAAAAGATCCAAGTCTAAAACGTATATACCTCAATATCTAATAAACACCTCATTATTGCCACATAAATAATGATATAATCCGAAAATTATTATGGAGACAGCTTCATATTTAATCACGCGTGTGGCACGGGCACTGTGAGTATTCTAAGAAAAGCTTCATCTAATGTCCGAAATGGGCCGCATTATCCACGTGGAGAAGACCATCACTGATACAAAGTATTCACATTAGACGGTGGTATCAATCTCGATTCACTCCGATCAACCCTAATTTGAAAAAAAGGTGGGACCATCATTTTCTCCACATTCATTTTTTGTGAAACCGACTTGTACGCGAAGAAACGAATGAATCAAAAGAATGAAGATACGGATTTGAAGAGGGCGTGATCGAATCGTATGTGTGTATGCATATGCAAATGTCGATTCTAATGAGAAGTGGTGTTCGGGCTTTGATCGGAAGTCGAAGGAGTTCTTTGCCGTTGATTTACTCGCGTTTCTCATCGTCACCGTTAACTTCATCATCACCGGCGTCGGGGACTGTAGCTTCCGGTGCCGCCGCTGATGTCGCCGGAGAAGGTCTGCTGTTGGAGGAGGAACCGCCTTCCACCGCCACCGTCGCGGCGAAGGCTGCTGTACCATCTCTACTTCAGCCTCGAGTCGTCGTTTATGATGGGGTCTGCCATCTGTGCCACGAAGGTGATTCTCATATACTCTCTCTCTATATACATATGTATATCAAAATGCTCGTTTGTATAATTCTGAAAGCAAATGCCGATTAGCTTTACCATGAGTTTTTAATTATTGTGCCGATTGAAAATTTCATTGTTGTTACTTGTGCTTTTTTGCTTTTGTTTGTCAATGACGCTAAGAACCGATATATAACTTTCTATATATTATGCATATGAATCATTTGATGATTATCTGATTAACTTCTGCTAGGTATTGTTGCTACTGGTTTCACTTTTTGGAGAATTTGCGAGAAAAAACCATAGTTGATTTAAGCTAATTTTGGTGTTCATTCAATTTATTTCGAAATCACTAGAATTTAATCCTTTGTTTAATCTATGGAAATGGAATAAGCTCAAAAAATGTACTCATGATGTTGTAGAAGGATGTCCGTTACTGGCATTGTAATATTACGAAATTATACTAATGAAGAATTGCACTACATTTATCACAAAAGAGTGTTTGATGCATCTTATTTTATAGGAATTGAAGATTTTTATTCGATCCTGAATTCTTTGTTCCAACCCTAGAGCTTTTTAGTGTTCATAATCAAATGCTGTTAGGTTTCTTTCTTCCTCCAGATAATCCAGAATAAACCCTGTTTACTCAGAATAGTTTTTCTGTGCATTTCACAACCTTGTTATGCATCCATGAATGCGTCGTCAACACAAAATAAACTGATGCTAAATTGTTTTTTCACTAATTTGTTTTGCAGGGGTGAAGTGGGTGATAAAAGCAGACAAGCACAGGAAGATCAAATTCTGTTGCCTTCAGTCTAAGGCTGCTGAACCTTACATGAGACTTTGTGGTGTCGACCGAGAGGATGTTCTCCGCCGCTTCCTGTTTGTTGAAGGCCTAGGTTCATACCACCTAGGTTCCACTGGTTAGGACCCTTTCTTCTCTCTCAGAATATTTATAAGTCCATGTATAATTTTATAATATTGTTGTGTATAGTTTGTCTTATAAGCGTTGTGTGCATATATTTTCTAACAAGGAAATAAAGTGACATATGTTTTGAATTCCTTTCAAATTACTTATAAAAAAAAAACTTTCAAATTAGTTTGAGCTGTAATTGATGGGAGAACATTTGCCGTCCTTGTTTCACCTTTGGCAACATCATTTGTTTTACTCTTGCTGTATTCAAAATACAATCAGGCTGAATAATTTGATCTTGAAACCGTTTTAATTGCAATACTAGGTCTCTTGAAATCAAGCTACTTGTGGAGGTCAAATATATTAGTGAAAAATCTAGTTTGGGAATTATTTATAATTTTGTATGTGGCCCAGTCTACTCTCATTAGCAATATGCTGATTATTAAAACCATATCAGTAGTTGATAATTCTACAAACTAGGAAATAATAAGTTGATAATTCTACAATTGAGATGCTCTGGTACCAATTGAGAAAATTTGGGACCCGAGACTCTCATACATTACAGTATGCTATGCCTAATTGGAAGGTGGTGAATAGATCTTTTGAACACTTGGATAATTTTTATCGAATATCAATTTTATCGATCAATTGAAGTTGAATAATCAATCAATAAGCCTATAAAAATAGGTCAAGTGTAAAAATGTAAAGCATAAAACATCCACACACATGAACACCAATTTTAATGGGGAAAACCCAACTGAAAAAAAAATCATTGGATCTAGTCCAGGAAAATCAAATCCACTATGAAAATAAAATTAAAAATTGTGCTAGGTTAACAGTTACCAAACCCTAGAATCTATAGTTACTCGTTGACACAGACTGATTCATCAAACTCAGTCTTAGAGTCACTAGGCACAGTGGCACACAGTTTACACTGTTGATATATTCGATTCTCTAATCCGTGATTTGATCTCCAATGACTAGTTGTCCAGTCCTTTGATGTGTAGGTGATGTGGTTGATTAATCTTTAAGTAATCAATGAAGCTCTTTGCTTTAGAACTTAATCACACAATATAATGGTATATTCAATGAAGAACCTCGGTTGTGATTGAAAAATAAAGCTCCCAATCTCTTGCAATTGTGTAGTTGTGTCTCTTATTATTTATTTATTGATGTTTATAGAACTCTAAGATACCTTTTTATAGTGTTGGAGTGATTAGAATTTGATTAGGAATGCTTTGAAAAGTTTAGAAACCTTCAGACTTGGAGTCGTGTCTTTTATCGAATTTGGGCTTCTGTGCGATTGATTGATGCATTGGTCGCCACCTTCTGGGTTTTCTCGATTGATCGAGCTTTCGGTCAAGCTATTTTGGTGTAACTTCGATCGATTGACGATCGATCGAGCTTTTCTGCTGAACTCGACAGCACATAACCTCGCTTCTGATCCTTCGTTGAGGGGTCAAATGGACTGGAATTTAGGTGTATAATATATTATTTATTGAGTTCAGTTTCTGAATATATAAAGACCATCACAACATTCCAAACTTTAAATTTTTAGTGATTCTTTTTAGGACATAGAGGTCAATTTTCACTAGGTAAAGTCTTTATCAAAATTAACTTTCGAAATGGTTTTCAACTGATTCAAATTAAAGCTTTCTAACCAACATTAAGGATTTCAAATTCATTTCCTAATAAAATTGTGTTGAATGTTAAATTCTATAAATATATTCAAAATAATTAATAATTATTTTTAAATTAATCTCAATTTAATTTAAATTTCCTATAAGCCAATCTTAACCATTTTTTCTTGAACAATTAGGAATATATAGAAATAATCACTTCAGATCCTATTGTGTCTTAAGTCACTTATCTTCTCTATATCGTGTGAATGATGAAGCTTGAAGTAAGATAATGATGTGATCTTCTGGCTCCATTTTCTATCTACAATCACAGCTTCAATGTTGATGCTAACCTTACACTGAAGTGACACCAAATATAGATTTTGAAAGCATTTGCTTACGGAATATGCCAACACAGGACACTTTTTTGCACGGTAGTAATTTATATATTTGTTCTACACTAATTTCAATGTGCATGCAAAACTGATTGCACCATATGATATAGATAGCTCAACTTCAGAAGATTGTTTTTCTCTTGATGTCTACTTATCAAAACCCAGGGAAGGAAAAACAAAAGTTTCTGGCATCTCTATCTAATACTGAAAGTAATTGAGTCAGCACAGCCTGGCCCCTAAATCCCAGGTGCTCATCCTGACAAACTCAACAAACCTCGAAGACCTGAATGCTCTTATTCGCTATTGAACGAAAATTTTTAGTAAAGTCAATTCATGGACTTAAGAAGATCTTGACAAACCTCTTTTAATGAATGAACTACATGTTCAGGCACCTTGTAGAGCAAAGAGACTTCTATAACTTTTGTTTGTCCAGCTCTAAGTGAATTGGCTTTAGGCATTGAGAAAGCTTGGTTGAAGGGCAGGCTTTACTGGTAGGCCATTGCCCATGGCCCTTTATGGAAGCTAAGGCCTCTTTGAAAAAAAACCTAATAAAAATAAAAAACCTAATAGGTTTACCAAAATGGAATTTTTTTTTTTTTTTTTTTTGAGTATGTGTTAGTTTTCTTTACTTTACCATTATAATAAAAAGGGCTAGCCTAGTGCACGAGGCTCCGGCCATTGAAGGGTCCGAGGAGGGTCAGATTTATGCAACCTTACCTCCTCCACATGGAGAGGCTGTTTCAAATTTCAAACTTGTGACCTCCAGGTCAAAACAGAGCGATATACTCAATATATATTTTCTTATGTGGACCCATATAAATAAATTGATTTTAAGATAATTTTTATGTTTTTTATATTTTGCTAGGTAAGTTACACACACACTATTGCACCCAAGAGGGTTGAGCCCTTGACCTTCATTTGAAAGGGGGAGATGCCGAGGTGATACCACTAAACTTACATGCTCAGTGGTAAAATACTTTACATTGTTATTAGAAGTCCAATGCTCTTAAACATTTCAATTTTTTTTTTTTTTTTTTTCATCTTAAAAAATAACAAGAATAGCTTGATTAAAACAAAAGTCGAGAGTTAATTATTGTCATTTATATTACTATATCATGTTTCAAAAATGTCTTCTTCGAGTTTTTGCCTTAGGCCTCATGTTTTTTTGAGCCGGCTGTGTTTGGTTGATGTATAGTCTTATAACTTGAAGAGTTCTATCTCATCCTAATTATACTGCCCGTTAATGTTGCATAGTGCAACCATGAGGTCACAGGCTGAATTAAGAAGCTACATATATGGCTATGTCTCGGAGATTTTTCATAATCCTACAGGAGCCTGAATTAAGAAGCTACAGATATGGCTATGTCTCGAAGATTTTTCATAATCCTACAGGAGCAAGTATTTTTTTTTTTTCTCTTTTTAGGATGGTAGGGTGTTGAACCATGTTTATGATGTTGCTGTTAATTTCTGAAGATGGGACAACCTTATGATTTCAGGTAATATGATGTACTTAAGTTCACTCAGCTCCTAGAAACTGGTAGCGATTTTGCAATTGCGACAGTAACCCCCTTGTCATGGTAAAAAATTCAGATCATTAAGCCAAAGAGAGAAAAATCGGGGGGGGGGGGGGGGGGGGGAAGGGGGAGGGGAATCAGTCATAGTCAATAAGTGGTATGCTCTGAGATTTTTCTTTACAGTATTGATTATTTACAACTTGACTTCAGATTTTTTTATTGGTTTTATTATTATTATTATTTTGATAAGTGATTTTCTTTATTGTCTATTATTGGTCATCTAAATTCTTCTGTTCTAAATATAGTGGAGTATTTGCTAGAAGGGCACCAAAAGGTCTTTTTAAGTTAAATTTGAACGTTAATCAAGAGAATATGTGAGGTTGTATAACTTGGGGATATTTACCATTATACTGAGATTTTACATTTTGAATCCTCATTTTCTTAAATTATGGATGACCATTGTGAAATTCTTCTGTCCTGGAAAGCGGATATGCTACTGTTATATGGAATTCCTATGATGTTGGTCTGTGAAAGACACAATCAAAAAAGTTTAATTCAACTATTTGATGAATTCCTGATCATTGTACTTCTATCTGGGCCATATCTTCAGTCAGAATACAGTTCATGATGTCTTATTCAAAATCCATAGTCTTGACATGCGTTCTTTTTTCTTTTCTCGTCATCGTAGCACTTTCTTTTTATTCCATATTAGATTATTATTCCTTGTCACTGCAACCAGCTGTCTATATATTGACGGCAAAGGAGATATATACAGCCCCACATGAACCTTAGTTTATTAGCTTGGCAGATAACAGTCAGTTGCTCCCTCGGCTTGTGTGGAACCTTAGCTTATTAGCTTCGTAGATAACAGTTAGTTGCTCCCTAGGCTTGTGTGGAACCCTCTGATGGACCCCACTGGTCCCAGGGGGTGTGGTATTATCTTTGGAATGAACCTGTTAGGTCAACAGGACTTAGGTTGGCAAATTTCATGTTCGTTCTCTCTTCAATTATGTGAAGAGGAGCTTTTGTTCTTCTTCATATGATTTAATTACTTTTTTGGATTCTTTGGGGCCTAAGTCCCGGTTCCACTTTTGTAATTGGGACGCGTTCCCTCTTGAACGCCTTTTTTTATGTTATTTTTACTTATCAAAAAAAAAATGTTGGTTGGTGTTAGTTACCCCTTGTCGAAGGGCATAATCAGAATTAAAGCTACATTCAAGGGCAAAAAGTTAATCTTCAAGCACAAGAGTAAAAAGGTTAATTTGATACTTACATATGAACTCACCAATTAGGGTTCATGCATTTATCAATTAAGGTTTCATATGTAATTCATGATTTGATCCACTAATATCTTTTTGATATGCATATAAATGTTTGAAAACTTAGTTAAAATCTAAATCCAAGTTTTTGGAGGACAGGGGACTTTAATTGATCGAAGGATCTGTCGACAGCCACTGGACTAGTAACTCTGCTCGATTTATCGAGCTAAGAAAAATTTGAGTTTCCTTTTCATATTAAACATTTCTTAAAACCCTAAAGTTTCAAGATTCTATGCTCTAGATAAAGTCCTCTAGTGTTTTGAAAACTTTAGACATGCATTATACAGTCACTTTAGCATACTTAAAACATTTGAGTGCATTCTAGTAAATTACCTCCAGTATTGTTTTACATTCATCATTCATAGTCTAATGAGTGTTCATATGTGGGGTTGATCATCTATCATTTCTGAGCCTACAATGATCTCAACACAAAAGTAAGGAGCAATCCTACGGTTCAGATTTGACGACTGGACCAGATATCAAAATACTTAGGAAAGTAGATCTTGTGAGAGCAATTCTGTTCAAGGAGCAGATTCAAGGCCTGAAGATTTGAGTGGACGGTTTGGCAATTGGTCTGTGTCAAGAGGTAGGGTTTGGGAAACTATTAACCTAGTTGTGTAATCTTTTTCTCACATTTTAGATTTGATCTGACTGGACTGAAACCACATAAGAAATCTGTGTCAATTGTGCTTTTCCTTCTACTACGTTTACATTACATATTGATTGTTTTTGTGTTTGGATGCATGATGGATTGAGTAGTTTGTTTAGTATTGGGTTACTTTAATTCTTGAATTGTGGTTAATTCAGTTAAAATTAGCTAACTAGCTTTCAAGACCTATTCACCTCCTTTCTAAGTCTAGATCACGGGTCCTGTGCAACTATATCAGAACCCAGGGTTCTGATCCTAACCCCTTAGAACCTATTTGTGTCATATGCCAGACTCACCAATCCTAAACCTAAAATATGGATAAATGTTAGGGTGCAAACAGAAAGGGTATGAATCCTCTTAGGGCATGATGGATATTCTTTTTGATTTTATCTTTCTATTATGGCTGCATAGTTCTTTTTTTATTTTATTTTTGGCCCCCCTTCCCCACAAGGTAAAATTCTATAACATCTTGGGGATGATTTTGACTTTGGACAATTTGACAAAGAGAGGCAACATTATTGTTAATTGGTGTTGTTTATGTAAAGCTGATAGTGAATCCATGGACCACATTCTTTTGCATTGTCCTGTGGCGTTTGATTGTTGGAGTTTTATTTTTAGTTTGTTTGGTCTTTTTTGGGTAATGCCTAAGCACTCCGCTCAATTGATTAACGCTTGGAAAAGGTGTCCTGTCAAAGAACAAGCTCGGGATTATTGGAAGATTGTTCCACATTGTGTTTGGTGGTGCTTGTGGCGTGAGAGGAATAACAGATCCTTTGAAGGAAAAGAATCGTCTTTAACTACTTTAAAAATTCATATTCTTGGTTCTTTATTCTTTTATGTAAGAGGAAGTGCATGTTCCTCGATTGATGATTTCTTTGATCTCTTGGATTCCATTGGTCCTTGGACCTTTTTTCTAATATATTATTACTTATCAAAAAAAAAAAAAAAAAAGTTGGTCTCAATGTTGATAAACTCTATCCATAGTTCTATAAAAAAAACTTTGAAATTTCCGTGTAGATTGTTTGATATGTATGAAGTGATGTAATTGTGTATGTAATGAATATTATCTAAAGATTTTATCATATGCCTTGTAGTTGGTTATCTATCCTTTTCTTTTCCCTCTTTATCTTCTTACTTCCAAACGGAAGGAAGGTTGAAGGTTTGAGTCAACACCGACCAAACCCCAACCCCCCCCCCCCCGGCCAAAAAAGGAGGAGGAAACACCAGTAACTTGAATTTAAGTAGCTTTCCATTAATTAGCATTGTTTATAGCCAATGCATGTTTGACTTACATGGGGTGTTGGGAGGAAACACTAGACACATTACTTTTGGTTTTATTTTATGTTATGTGGCTTGTCTCAGACTATAACCTCTCATGTCACGCTTGTCAGTCTAAGATTCTACCATTACTTCAGCAATGATCCCTTCATCAAATACTGGTGCTCACTTAATTATTTTTATTTTTATTTATTCTGTCGTATCAATTGCTCTGTGCTACACTTAATTTTTTTTATTCTATTTATTCTGTCATATCAATTGGCTCTGTGCTAGACTGGATGGAACTGAGTAGGTATGGCTAAGCATACAGTAGAGTTTAAAAACTATGACAATGTCTTTCAAATTAGTTAAGAGTGGGTAAGTGTTAATCTTGCACTGTGTGTGTGTGTTTTCCCCCTTTATTTAAGATAATGAGGTTTGATTCTGTGTGATAAAACATTAAACGCCATTGAAGAGGTTTCGTACTTCAGCCTCTATTGAATGGGGACTAGTTCAACCAGTACTGGCTTTCTCCAAAGTATCAGCTTTAGCTATCCATTTCTACCGTTCTGTTTCAAGGTCCTATCATTATGTCTTGCTGCCAAACCCCTCAAATTGAAACACTTTTTACTCTGTTTAAGTATTGGTCAAATGAATAGGGCAAGGTATGTGTTTCCAAAGCCTAGATGCCTCTGTTTTGAAAGTCGCAGGTAAGTTTTTTTTTTCTTTTTTTCTTTTCCCCCGTACTCTGGGAACTTATGGGCCATAGTTTTTTTTTTTTTGGTGGTAAATTCTTTTAGATTTAGTCCAGATGATCTTATTTGATATTGCAACAAAGCTCCTATATACTAGAAATTTATGGAATTTAACATCTTCAGAGAAATCCAATTTCAAGGTTCAATGACATTAGCACCAATAACAGTATTAATAAGAAGCTTTTGGAACATCCTTTCAGATGCTGTAAACACGTGGACTCAAGAATTGGCAGATTTATTCATTGATTATTGCTTCCTTCCACCCCCAACCCCAACCGTTTTCATCCTCTAGTGAATTTATGTTCCACGCGAATGCAGAGTCTTTCTTTGTTAGCCCACATATAGCTATTATTTCATGGTGAATGCAACACTTGAAGTCTAATTTTCTGAATTTATTTGATTATGCAGCTGCACTGAGAGTTCTGTCATACTTACCGTTACCTTACTCTGTGTTAAGCACTCTTGCGATAGTCTCAACACCTTTAAGGGATGCTGTCTATGATTATGTTGCCAAGCGGCGGTACAACTGGTTTGGAAAGGAGGAAGAATGTATAGTTCTACAAGAGAAGGAGATGCTCGAGCGTTTCATTGATAGGGAAGAAATGCTGGATCGCAGCAAATCAAATTTATGAGGACCTCGTTTGATACGATTAGCCACATCTAGGATATCATTTTAGACAGCTGTCATGGTTAATGTTCCTCGGAAGGACTATACTGTAAAGTCGTACATGCACGTTATTCTCGAGCATAGCATCTACGCATGACATTGAACTTAAGTGGGTAGAATACTGGATGTGGTTTTTGACTTTCTTCTCTCGGATTGGAAATGTAGCTATGCTTGATGACAACATGAAGATTTTCCATTTAACGCACTTGTTTGTTCCTGATGCCTGATTTCTCTTGAGCAAAGCCACCCTTGTCACAACCCTAACTCCGATGGTTGCTGCACAAATGAACTTGACATTGTAGTAGGTTATGGCTGGTGTTTGTTTTGAATTGTTTAGAGCCTAAACATTTCAGGAATCCAGACAATACTTAATGTAGCTAAATATAATGCCAATTTACTTGCAATTTGAATCTGAATTCATCTTTTATGTTGAATTGCTTCGGTTTGTACCAAATGGGCAATAGCTTAGCTGGTACAAATCTTCAAAAGGGAGGTCAGGTGTTTGAGCCTCATGTTAGACTTGAACTGGATAATCTTTGTGATTAAACAAAATTAAACGCCATTAAAGAATGGAGTTTTTACTCTGTTTAATTATTATTGGTCAAAAGAATAGGGCAAGGGATATACTTGCAAAGCCTAGATGCCTCTTTTTGCAAGTATTTTTATGATACTTTGAAGTGCTTGGAGCATGTTTTCGTAAACCATGCTTCAGCTCATTCTTTAACAAATTTTTTAGTTCATGTTCAAAATAAATGTCATCCAATTTATGGGGGAACCATGAAAAATGAGCTTCTTCATCTTTCAGTTCTGCTCAATCGTTTTTTTTTTTTTTTTGAGACATAATACATAAAAATAAATAATAATAATAAATTAAATTAAAAAATAATAAATTAATTAAAAAGAAAAAATATAAACATTTATAAGCTTATCGATTTATTTATTTATTTTTCGTATATCTATACTATTATTAAAAGTATAAATAGTTTTGAACCATTTAGAGTTTCATAATATTTATTTTTTATTTTTTATTTTTGTCCTCCAATTCTATTCTCTTTTTAACTCTATAACAATTTACATTTGTTTAATAATATTCTCTATTAATCATTAACCAAAAAAAAAAAATATTCTCTATTAATTTATTGTAATTATATTTTATTTTACCTAATAAAATATATGTTAAAGTCTTTTTTTTAATTAAATAACTAATGGTTAATTACCTAGCTATATACTCCCTCCGTCCCTTATTAGTAGTCTATTTTTCTCTTTTTACGTGTCCCAAATTAATTGTCCTCTTTGAAAAGTCAAAGCATCTTTTCTTTATATTTCCATCATTGTCCTTTATTTTTAAAAAAAAATTCAAACTTTGTAACTATATATATTTAAATTAAAAAAGACAATTTGATAATTTTGAAAGGGGACAATGTATTAATTGCATATCTCTTTAAAAAATTATAAAACCAAAATGGACAACTAATAAGGAACGGAGATAGTAATAAAATCGGACCCTAGGTAGCAAAAACACGGGCGCAGGACATGGACATGACGGTTGACTCCCCAAATTCTAAAAATGTATGACATTAGTACACCGACATGATTATATACAAACATGATTTTTTTTTTTTTTTAATCCATTTAATGAATAAGAGTATTATAAAATATTAATTCATTTCTCATCTCTATATAAGAGTTGCTATGAGATGATTTAGAAAATAAAGTTATGCCCTAGGTCACACGATTCGTTGTACAGGTGCCGCTCCGGAGCTCCGAACGCGAATCAACCGCTTTGGGAGCGGATTCGGTTGCAATTCGTGAAATCAAGTTTTGTAATTCGCGAATTCAGATTTGAAATTCGCGAATTCGGATTTTAAGTTCGCATATGGAGAAGTAGATGAAGCTTTTTGCATCTGGAGAGAGGATGAAGAAGAAGAAGAATGATTGCAGGCTTAATATTGGGGAATGGTAGAGAATCATTGGCCTCCACCTAGACCACCAGATTGATTTCTCCTCTTCTGACCGTGGCTTGTCACATGCCAAGTTTGATATATCCCGCTAGTGCCCTAGCCTCTGTTGAGATTGAGTGGCTTGTAACTTGTTTGGTGCTATACAGCTATACGCATGTGCATATAGATGATGTTTTCTTAGGCCGTTTGGGCCCTTGTTTTAGGCCTCTATTGTTGGCCTTGTTTTGTTCTAAATGCATTCTGCCAATGGCCCAATATAAATTTATCCACCTATTTATAAAATTGTCTAACTTTTCTAAAAACACACACACACATTAATATTCAGTCCATAACAATATATTTGAAATACAATAGCAACAAAAAAATATTTTTAAAATTAGTATAATCATATTTCACATAAAATAAATATATAAACATAAAAATAATTAATATACACACACTTTCATAGCGCTCCTGCTCTCACCTAATTTTAAACTTTGACGCTCTCGCGTTCTCACTCCCGCATTATGTGACTTACATTATGCCATGATTGTATTGATTTTTATATCTCAGTTTTTTTTTTTTTTTTTTTTTCAAAAAATAATAATAATAATAAAAAATAAAAACGTTAAAATGTGTTATTACTTTTAAGATTACCGAACATGACTACCTTATTTTATGTATATAAGACGGCTGTATGTGTTTAAAATAATAAAATTTAATTTTCAATTATGGACATGTACACGAAAGTATCAATTTTCAATTATGGACATGTACACGAATGTATGGATGTTTGATATGGATACAGTCACTTGGTAAAAGTGTATGTGCTTTTCAGATAAAAAATGCGTATAAACTGCCCCAGGGGCATAGCTGTGATGGTTAGAGGTTGGAGGCAGGTTTGAAATGGCCGATATTCGACTCTTCCCAAACCATCTATTCCTCTCGATTGATTTGACTGCTGCTCGTGTTGTGGGGCTGGTGCGCGTGGCACTAGTTTGTAACTTGGGGTGGGGCCTGCCTAGGGGAGTTCTTGTTTCCAATAAAAAAAAAAAAAAAATAATGCTTATAAACTTTTTTCAACCTTTTGCTTACATGTCCCATATCAACTTTTTGCTTACATGTCCCATGTTGAAAAAGTGTAGTATAATTTTCCAATATGTTACTCTCAAAGTATAACTAATTCAGCATGCGGAGGTCGTTTTGCTTCCAGCTGCCTGGCCCGCTCTATAGCGGCTTCCCTACCAATATTTGTTGTCTCCTGCTCTCGAAAATCCCAAGTTTTTCGAAAACTTGGATTGCGAGTATCAATAATCATCTTTTCAAGTGAAACAACGCTCTCAAGTAGGCACATTGCAAGCTCAAAATCAGGTGTGAGGCCAACCCAACCTATAAATTCCACCACCTTCAGGCATTGATGCTCATATTCTGTAACCTGTCTCACCCGGCTGCGCTTTTTCTGCAATTCCCAATGGGACTGCCACACAAACAATGTGATCAAATCAATTTTTGCTACAGACAAGAAGATGACTGACAATATAAAAACATTTTAAGTCTAGCAGAATCTAAAAGCAGCTTATAGTACCTTTAAGCATGAAGGTGCACGACCTCTGAATTCAAACTGTCACAAGGAAAGAAGAAGTCATCAAATAAAAGATGATAGAAGCAACAATCTGCAACTAATTAATGTGGCATTTGGATGTTCATGAAAACTAAGGATGCTCGTGTCTGGCCAACATAGCTCAAAAAAGATTTTCTTCCCACCTGAACTCCAGTTGTAAAAATGTGGGGAGAACTAAGGAATTCGCAAAATGACCTCATCTATATCTTATCATGGTGGCCGTAGGCTGATTCTCATGATCAAAAACGAAAATGTAGTTCCAACATCACAATAAAAGAATTGGATTCACTCGATCAAATTGGACATACACAAGCCTTCCATGTGTTTTAGAGACTATATTGGAACACACGGTCAACTAGTATGACAAGCAACGAGACTACAGCATGTGAAAATTTTATTCTGCTCAAAGTCACACAACCTAAACACTTATTTAGAAGAGAAAGAGGAAGAGAGATAGAGAATCTAATAACATCTATAACGAGGTAACAATGGTTCAAAACCTACCTACCTACCACTTTTAAGAACATGATGGACAGAGAGTAACAGCTGAAGCAAAAGGGCAACAGCTGAAACAGGGCTGGCATGCACAATTCTGCTTGAGAATCAACAATTGAAGCAGAAAAAAATAAATGAATAATTGGCCCTTGTTTATGTTGGATGTCAAGAATGTGTTCTTACATGGCGACTTAGCTGAAGAAGTTTTCATGGAGCAACCACCTGTTTATGTTGCTCAGGGGGAGTATCGACATAGTGTTTGTCGGTTAAAGAAGGCTCTTTATGGTTTGAAACAATCACCAAGAGCCTGATTTGGGAAAAAAAAAAATTAAGGCAACATTAAAATTTGGTCTTCACTCTTTGCACATGCCAGACAGATCATTAGCAGGTTTCATTTTCTTTGTAGTGTATGTAGATGACATTGTTATAACAGGTGAGGACTTTGCGGGCATTGTTAAGTTGAAGGAGTTTCTACCGCATCAGTTTCGTACCAAAGGCTTGGGTAGAACTCAGATATTTTTTTGGGAATTGAAGTTGCTAGATCAAAGAAAGGTATAAGTTTGTCCATAAAAAAGTATGTGCTTGACTTATTAGAAGAAACATGACTATTAGGTGGAGTGGTCGCAGTTGATGTTCCTATGGATCCAAATACAACAAAACTGCTGATGATGGTGATTTATTTGACAACCCTGGCAGATATCGACGATTAGTTGGAAAACTGATTTATCTCACGATTACTTGGCCTGATATCTCGTATGTGTTAGTATGGTGAATCAGTTCATGGGAGCTCCTAGGGTGCCACATTGGAATATTGTTATCAGATTATCCATTATCTCAAGGGAGCTCTAGGTCTAGGGTGGTTGTATAAATCCAATGGTCACCTTAAGGTGGATGGTTTTATATTTGGGCTGGTTCACCCTCAGACAGAAGATCCACTACAGGATATTGCACCTTCTTAAGAGGTAATCTAGTTACGTGGAATAATAAGAAGCAAACAGTTGTAGCACGGTCTAGTGTTGAAGTTGAGTATAGGGCGATGACTCATATGTCTAGTGAGTTGACGTGGCTACAACATTTCCTAGAAGAACTTGATTTGAGAGTTCAAACTCCTCTTCTGTTGTTTTGTGATAATCGAGCAGCTATCCATATTGCCTCTGACCAAGTGTTCCACGAAAGGACTAAGCATATTGAAGTTGACTGCCACTTCATTTGTGACAAAATATTGAGTGGAAACATTTCTACTCCATTTATAAAGTCTGAAGATCAATTGGATGATTTGTTCACTAAGGCTCTCGGTGATAATTGATTGAAGGCTATTTGTTACAAGCTGGGATATGATATATATTCTCCAGCTTGAGGGGGAGTGTTAGAATAACTATATTAGAGCACACTTGTAAGTTTACCCCGCAGGGGTATTTTAGTTTTTCCATTAAATCTATACTCTTGTGTATTTATATATAGAAAAGATATTGGAGTGAGGCGAGTTTAGTTTTTCTCCCTCACACAAAATTCCCATATAATGTCTCCATTTTTTCTCTTTTCTTTTAACCATAATTTCAGCAAAGATAATAAACTTACACCATCACTTTTCCTTAAATTAATGGAAGCTAGAGTGGCTGCATATGACAATTTAGTTTGACCAAAGTGCCATTTTCATAACTCAACAAAATAAACAATATAGTAAAGTTTTAAGATGCAAGCTGTTTAAGATGCGGAAACTCACCTTCAACACAAAACTGAACAAGCAAGGAGATGCATTTATCAAAGAAATGAGGAAAAGGATGCTTCGGTCATTGTAAGCCCGAACGTTTATTTCCAATTCCTTTAGATTACTAAATTTAGGAAAAAATTCCCCTTTTAATATGTTTCCCCCAATAGCCTACCAGTAAGAACAAAAATTCAGTGATTAGCAACCACTAATAATAAATGAAAATAAATAAACACGGAAAAAGTGAAGCGTACTAACCACAGAATTCAGCTCCAATATAAGCTTTTCTAGTTGAGGGAGATCGATAGAATGGAAGCTTGTTATATTCAGAAACTAAAATATCACAATAATGTCCCTGGATAGATACCTCAGCAAGCAAGGGAACTTCTTAAAAGGCATGCTTATCTCTGACCCAAAGTATTTAAATGACACGAGATTTATAGCTGAAATCTAAATATCTTTTAAATTGATACAGGAGGCAATTTCCAAGTATTTCAATTTGAGTGAAGTACCAGCAACTTTTGCATTAACTAAAGATATTGAGTGCCGCACGGATAAATGCTCAAGCAATGGGCAACTCGATAAGAAGTATGCAACACCTTCTCCAGTTATATTGACATGTGTTAAGCAGAGGGAAGTAAGGGTATCAAAGCTTGAAAAACCAAGAGGCAAGTCCAACAACCAAAAAGGAAAAGCGTAATTATAATGTAACTGACTTAACTGAGAATCCGTGTACTCTCTTGACAAGTCCAACTCAAGCATTCTAACTCTCTTCTCTATTGCAAAGTTTATCCATCTATCAATGATCCATCCACAATGTTTATCAGAATCAAAACAAATTTTGAGTTCATCTAAAGTTTGCCCACGATGTGAATTCAAGACTTGGTTCACCCAATTTATGTACTCAAACCTTTCCATTATACTTGATACTTTACTTTGTTGCAAGCCCACTGATTTCTTTGGGATAACAAAGTCCAGACTACCACTGAAAAATTTCCACAGATTTCCCACCTGTGCGAAAGGATACTTGTTCTTGCTGCTTCTTTCATTGTCAAGCAGGACAATATAGTCACAAGTATTTCATCTGGCAATCCACTAATCCGGTCCTACATATAATAGTCCATTTATCAAGCTAATTATAGTAAACAAATGGCGAATTACCATGACGATAATAATAAAGAAACAGTGTTATAAAAATATATAAATATAAATGAAAATTAATATCTTCGAATCTTTTTTGGTATGTATTTTGTTCAAACATATTGAAGATTGACAATAGATAACAATTTATAAAAAACATGCAAATTCAATATATATATATATATATATATATATACAGAGAGAGAGAGAGAGAGAGAGAGAATGAAGCATTAAAGACATGTCAATCGCAAACTTTCAGGATGGGGGGTGCTTCCAGTAAGGTATCTTGGGGTTCCATTGCTGTCTACAAAGCTCAAGTCTGAAGATTGTTTGGGGTTAGTGGACAAAATTGCCTAAGAGATAAGTTTTAGTGCAGCAGGTATCTCTCATTTGCTGGAAGATTGCAACTACTTAATGCTGTCCTATTTTCTATTCAAGTGTATTGGTCTTCTGTGTTCATCCTTCCAAAAACAGTCATCAAGCAAATCAATGATTTTGAGCTTTCTTTGGAATGGTGTGGATCTTAGTAGAGGGCATGCTAAAGTAGCCTGGGATAAGGTCAAATATTAAGTTTCTTGGAACAGAGCTGCTATGGCTAAGCATACATGGGATTTACTGCAGACTGAACCTGAAGTCTCTGTGGATGCAATGGGCTAAATCTAAATTGAAAACATAAAAATAAAAGGAAGAACTTTTGGGCTATAAACACTCCTCAGGATTGTTCATGGACATGGATGAAGTTGTTGAACCTTAGAAGCTATTTTAGAATGGACTTTATGTACAAAATTGGGAATGGTGAGCATACTTCTTTATGGTATCAATATTGGCTTCTTGCTGACCCTATTGCCTTGAATTTAGGAGAGAATATATTTGGAATTGGCTAGTTAATTCAAATAGTGGTTTTGAATCTTTTGATGCTTTGGCTAGTAAATTGCCAAGTTTATCCAACACTAATTCTTTTGATCAGCTTGTTTGGATGTCCACTAATGGTGCTTTTTCCATCGTGTCAGCCTGGGGTAGGATCAGACCTAAGAATAGTAAGGTTGTCTGGTTTGATCTTATTTGGTTTGGTAAAGCAATTCTAAAGCAATCCTTCATGGTGTGGTTGACTATTCAAGACAAGTTGCTAAACAAACAGAGAATGGTAAGGATGAGATGCTTTGCTTTTGTCATGCTTTATGGTGGCATAAGGTTATTTCTGCTAGAATGGGGGTGATTCTGGCTTTGTGCTGGGCTTTTGATCTATGTTGCAGCAGTCTTATTATTTTGCTCTTCCTGCAGTTTGCTTTGTATTGCTTCTGGCAGCTGAGTTCTTGGTTGGATTTGGTATGTGCTTCGGGGCCTAAACTTCTTTTGTTGCCTTGAGAGCGTTTATTTTCTTTTGTTCTTGCTGCTTCTTTCATTGCCAAGCAGGACAATATAGTCACAAGTATTTCATCTGGCAATCCACTAATCCGGTCCTACATATAATAGTCCATTTATCAAGTTAATTATAGTAAACAAATGGCGAATTACCATGACGATAATAATAAAGAAACAGTGTTATAAAAATATATAAATATAAATGAAAATTAATATCTTCGAATCTTTTTTGGTATGTATTTTGTTCAAACATATTGAAGATTGACAATAGATAACAATTTATAAAAAACATGCAAATTCAATATATATATATATATATATACAGAGAGAGAGAGAGAGAGAGAGAGAGAGAGAGAGAGAGAGAGAGAGAATGAAGCATTAAAGACATGTCAATCGCAAACTTTCAGGATGGGGGGTGCTTCCAGTGAGGTATCTTGGGGTTCCATTGCTGTCTACAAAGCTCAAGTCTGAAGATTGTTTGGGGTTAGTGGACAAAATTGCCTAAGAGATAAGTTTTAGTGCAGCAGGTATCTCTCATTTGCTGGAAGATTGCAACTACTTAATGCTGTCCTATTTTCTATTCAAGTGTATTGGTCTTCTGTGTTCATCCTTCCAAAAACAGTCATCAAGCAAATCAATGATTTTGAACTTTCTTTGGAATGGTGTGGATCTTAGTAGAGGGCATGCTAAAGTAGCCTGGGATAAGGTCAAATATTAAGTTTCTTGGAACAGAGCTGCTATGGCTAAGCATACATGGGATTTACTGCAGACTGAACCTGAAGTCTCTGTGGATGCAATGGGCTAAATCTAAATTGAAAACATAAAAATAAAAGGAAGAACTTTTGGGCTATAAACACTCCTCAGGATTGTTCATGGACATGGATGAAGTTGTTGAACCTTAGAAGCTATTTTAGAATGGACTTTATGTACAAAATTGGGAATGGTGAGCATACTTCTTTATGGTATCAATATTGGCTTCTTGCTGACCCTATTGCCTTGAATTTGGGAGAGAATATATTCGGAATTGGCCAGTTAATTCAAATAGTGGTTTTGACTCTTTTGATGCTTTGGCTAGTAAATTGCCAATGTTATCCAACACTAATTCTTTTGATCAGCTTGTTTGGATGTCCACTAATGGTGCTTTTTCCATCGTGTCAGTCTGGGGTAGGATCAGACCTAAGAATAGTAAGGTTGTCTGGTTTGATCTTATTTGGTTTGGTAAAGCAATTCTAAAGCAATCCTTCATGGTGTGGTTGACTATTCAAGACAAGTTGCCAAACAAACAGAGAATGGTAAGGATGAGATGCTTTGCTTTTGTCATGCTTTATGGTGGCATAAGGTTATTTCTGCTAGAATGGGGGTGATTCTGGCTTTGTGCTGGGCTTTTGATCTATGTTGCAGCAGTCTTATTACTTTGCTCTTCCTGCAGTTTGCTTTGTATTGCTTCTGGCAGCTGAGTTCTTGGTTGGATTTGGTATGTGCTTCGGGGCCTAATTACATAGCAGTATCTTAATATGCCCACTAAACTTTCTTTTGTTGCCTTGAGAGCGTTTATTTTCTTTTGTTCTTTCAAGTTTAAGTGGTTTTGTTTAGATGTGTTGGCTAGATGCATTTCTTTGTATTCTATACATCATTCTCTATTATTTTCCCTTTCAGTTCTCTGTTTAGTCTTGGGTTATACCCTTTCTATATTTTTTGGAGGTATGCTCTTGTGCTTGATGTACTTTTTGATTTTAATTAATGAAACCATTTACTTAAAAAGGAGAAAAAAACACTTAATGATTATGAACTAGTGTAAATGAATAATAATATATCCAACTTCCTTTTGGAATTTGTTAGGAAATTTATTGTTCGATAACTCTTGGGCTCTAAGGATTTGGGTGTACAACGAGAAATGTGAGCTCACGAGAGAGCAGTTGGGCATGTGAGGGCCTCAAATCCTCTACCTCACACGGACCGTGAAGATGTGGTTAATGGTTGGTACAGTGAACTAGTGAAGAACACCAATGGTGAGCAGGGGGTCTCGTGGAGTGGTACGTGTGAAAGGCTCGGGTATCAGACTCCATACCCTAGAGTGGGAGTTGTGTACAAGGTTGCAGTGTTGGATATTGATCTCTATTGTATTAATTTCTCTACATAACTGTGGTTACAACTTTTATCATCGGTGGACGTAAGCCAGATTTGAACCACAATAAATCTTGTAGTTGTGCGTGATTATTTATTGTTTGTGATTGGATCTACATGTGCCATTGTTCCAGTAGTATTTACATTGTTCAAACATGTTGATGATCAACAATATAATGCATGAATTTAGAACCAAAATGAAATAACAAAAATATATAAATAGATAAATACCATGAAAGCCTTGGCTTGAATGGTATAGCCTCCCAAATGGGAGGTTGAGGGTTCAATCCCTAGTGAGGATGTGTGTGAGTAATTCAATCCAGCAAAACATAAATAAATAAATAAACAGATTGAAACAAAACGATATATTCACAAACACACACTCCCAAGAGGAAAAAAATTATTAAAAAAAACGGCCCAGCTTTAAATCATCTAGAGAAGAATTTACCTTTTGTAAGGAATATGTAGAAGTGACACACAACCTTTTCTCCATTAGATTTGAAGATACAATCATTGATTCATATAAAGCTGCAGAATTACAAAAATCAGACAAATCATACACTAAAGTGACAAGATATTAGCAAAAAACCAGTTCAAAATAACTCTCTGTCTCTTGTACTCCAAAGGGAAAGAGAGGCATTCTGTCCTACGATGAGTTACGAGTTAAATAAGATATAATCAGAATAATTCTTCAACTCGTTCTTTTTTTTTTCTCACCCCGATTTCGCCTGACACACATATCTTAACAAGTTCAAATAACATGAAACCCTATACACGTGCAAAACAGTGTGTGTACATATACAGAGAGTAAAGTGCATCCCTGCTATACAAAACTTGAGCACTAAACACCCCTCCTATTTAGTATGTGAATATAACCCCACATGATTTGAGGAATGCGTGCACATTGAACCCCCTCCGTTATATATCCAATATAAAGTGGCCGTTAGGTGTCATTAATTTACATGAAAACCCAAAACTACGTACCATTTTTGAGTGACCAAAATGCCCTTAAAAGCCTTCTATATATATATATACACACACGAGCGCACACAAATTATATACGTTTATGCACACTTATTCCATGTTTGGGTGCATCTAAATACAACATCTCTCTCTCTCTCTCAACCTACCCCATAAAATTATAAGGACATTGCGGAATGTAAACTGTCATAAATGGTTGGTAACAACAAGTGTCAATCAAAACAATCATTCGGGAATGCAGTGATCAATAAGGAGGCTGCTCTTGCAGACACAAGAGTCCCTGATCATCAACTTGAACAAGTAATCGAACACTGCAGCATCTATATCTCTCTCCAACGAGTCTAAATTCAAGGGCGGATCCAAGATTTCTCAATTGGGTGGGCTAAATCAAAATATATCAACCAAAATCAACTACTGTTTAATTCAATTTTAGTTAATTAACAATGTTTCTTTAGACAATTGATTGATTAAGGCATAAAAAATCCAATTTGGGTAATTAATAAAAAAAATTTACCAATTTATTTCTGAACAATTCACCACTCAGTACCCTCTCTCTTCTTTTGACCAATTTACTAATCCTATTTGAGAATCTACTAGTGGAAGCAGAGTGTGAGGTAGTTCATGGCAAGCCCCTTCCAACACTATGGAATTCACTCAAAAGAATGCTTTTTGTAAGTATTTTAATTTTCAAGAAGTAACTTTAGAGCTTTACCCTATATTAAGTAATTTTGTTGCTTATATATTAACATATTTTGTTACTTTATATTGTACATTGTTTCATATACAATTGGGTGCCCATATTAATTAACAGATTTATGCTTTATGTGGTTAACATCCAATTTATTATTAACATCCAATTTATTATGCCCAGATTTTTTCATGCTAATAATAAATTGGATGTTAACCACATAAAGCATAAATCTGTTAATTAATATGGGCACCCAATTGTATATATATATATATATAGAATAATTGAAGAATATCAATTGATCCAATTTGTTGTGCTTTATACTCAGAGTCTGAAGTGATGAAAGCACTCTAAAAGATGCTGTAATTGTAAAATTTATAATCCACGATAAGGGCTTTCAGCTTGTTCAAGACTCAAGTTCAACCCAAATTAGTCTTTCAAATCCTGTAAAGGGAAATCCTGTTTCAGTCATTATCTTCACAAATATTTATAACTAAAATTCATAAAATAAAATAAAAAATTTTATACAAAAAGACCATAAAAAATTTCACTAAATACGATTTAGTTTGCAAAACAAGAATTACAGACCTTGATTAGTTGATTTAGAAAAAAACATTTAAAACAAAACCCATACATACAAGTTAGCAGTTGCAGAGAGAGGGGGGCAAGCTTGAGAGTTGAGAGACAGCGGCTAAAGCTTGCGAACGGCGAACCCGAATTGGAACAGCGGGCGATGGAAACTGAAAGATATGGGTTTTGATTTTTTGAACAATCTGAAATGATATGCCAATATGGGTTTTCAACTTTTGATTCTTGCAACAGATAGATAAACTGAAATATATGGATTTTGAACTTCTGATTCTTGTAGATTTTGTAGTTTGTAGTTGGAGAGAGAGAGAGAGAGGGGGGGCAGGTTCAGAGTTGAGTACGAGAACAGAGATGGAGGCGATTGGGGAGGCTGAAATGATTTGTCCTAATTTATTATTATTATTATTATTATTATTATTATTATTATTTTCTGGTGGCCCATCATCCATGGACGTATAAATTTTGAGGCCCTTGCGACCGCCTTGGGTCAGGGCCGGTGCTCGGACTTATTTGGTTTGTGCCTTTATTTTAGTATGATTAAATTGACTTGGACTTCATTGTTAATAAATTTTTTTTTTTTTTTAGACTTGGCTAAAATTAGTATGGTAAATTTTTATTTTATTTTATTTTTGGCCTTTTCTTGTTTTCTACGTCTAGCTTTGTTTGGAACGAAAAAGTTTTAGAATTTGGAAATAGAATTGAAAAAGGAATTGAATTGTAATTAAAATAAGATTGAATAAATTGAAATTTGTTAGAAGAAAATTTTATAAGAAAAAAAATGAAGAATTATTTTTGTAACTTCAATAGTTATTAACAAATCCTTTCAAATTCCTTTATTTTCCCCTGGATTTCTTACATAGACTTTTTCCCATCAAATCCAATTCCTTTTTTAAATCCTACTGTTCCAAACAAAGCCTACATTAAAAGTATACATTTTACTTTTAAAATTGTGCATAAAATCCTCAATAAAATTAAAAAATTTACTTGAACTACCAAATTTATCAAGTTAACTCAAACTCGTCCGTTAAATGAGTTGTGAAATGTAAAAATTTTGCCAACTATTTAATATTAAATTAAATATTATAATTATTATTTTAAAATTATAAAAATACAGTGCTTACAAAAATATTAATTAAAAGCTATTAAATAAAATTTGACTTTCAAAGTCCTTGGGGAGAAGACAGAGGTATTTTTGTAATTTTAAATAATAATTATATCTTTTAATTTAATATTAAATAGTAAGGTCAAATTTGAGATTTTACAATTCATTTAATGAGTTGGTTACATGATTGGGATAACTTGATAAAATTTGTTAGTTCAGGATTTTTTTATTTTATTTTAATTCTACTGGGTATTTATTAGGGGTGGCAAAGTTTGACATGCTCCGCCAATATGACATGAGTTAAATGGATTTGGGTTGACCTTAAGGGAGGCCTGTGTAGGATATTTTAATTTTTAGGGAAGTTCGAGTATATTCCCAACCTACAGGGGAAGTTTATTATAATTATGACAAACCATAGAGAAGATCCATATAATTTATCTAAAATAATAAACTAATAATTCCTACAATTTTCTTAAATAAATTTTCATTATAACCAAATGAATAAAAGACATAATTTTTCTTTTTATGTCTTTTATTTTCTTGCTTATTTCCGTCTAACCAAATGAAACCAAAGTTTATCTCAGTTTTTTTTTTTCTAAATGATTCCAAACAAAACGTGTTGGTGTGTGGGACACGCCAAACACATCGCTGGTTAGCCAAAATATATATATATATATATATATACTGTAAAAAAAAATAATAATAATAAATAAAATACTCTGTACAATTCAATACTAACGTTAACTAGGGGTACAACTTGGGTTGGAAAATCTGAACCCAACCTGAGACCAGCCCGATTTTTTATGGGCTTGGGCAATTTTTTTACAATTAGGATTGGGCTTGGGTTGAAAATTCTCAACCCGAATTGAATTAGTGTTAGCTTTGGGTTGAAGTACTAGCAACTCGAGCCAATCCGAACCCAAATTATAATATTATTTTCATATATATTTTTACTTTAAAATACATTATATATAGTATTTAAACTATGATTACCTTTTTTTTTTTTTTTTTTTCGACTTCCTTTATTAAATCTTAATTTATTGTATGTTAACATTTAGGACTTAATTTTATAACAATTTGTTTGTAATTTATTAAAAATCTACAAAAAAGTTTTTGAATTTTGTTTAAGAGTAATTTAATCTAAAATTATTTCAATATCATATTAAATTTTCGGCGTGAAAATTAGCCATATGAGTAACCCAAATTAATCCGAAATTTTAACACGAAATTTAAGCCCGAGTTACAAGTCCAAATTTAAAAGTAGAAGATGGGTTGTGTCTGGGTTGAGTAGTTAGTGTTGAGAATAAGGTTGGGTTTGGATTTGAGTTTAACATTTCATATGATGGGTTGGACTCAAGTAATACCTCAAACCTGCCCGAGTTGCAATCCTAACATTAATCCCTCTGATTGAGTGGCAAGTGTTACACTCTCCCACCTAAGTTCGTCATGCATGCTCAAAAGTCTTCTTCCCCTAATTAGTGGAGGTACTACGCTCTCAAACACCTCCGTGAACTGCTGCATGTGCTTCGTGAAATTCCACAATGAAGATTATTTACCCAAAAAAAAATTCCACAATGAAGGTTAGTGCTCTAACTTTATGTGCCTAAATTTTAAATATTACCAAACATGCTTAGAGTTTAGTAAGTTGTATTCCACACTATTCCTACATGGGAGGATTTCAGATATATCAACGCTTTTTGGCAAAGACTAAATTTAAACTAGAAATTTACAAGATCTAGAAAAATCCAGACATGGTAAAGGAATTTAGGGTATAAATAGACATGTGGGTTGCCTATGAAAATCAACTTAGTCAGTTCTAACATGCAATTTGCAAACTCTTATATCGGTTCTAATGTGGCTGAAATAATTGTTTATAGTAGACAAAATGACCACGCAGAAACCATCCCTACTTACATCACCTTATATAGCAGCAGTGTATAAAAGGATTACCTGATACATTGATGATATTTCTATTCTCATCTCAAAATCGTAGTATTAACGTTACAAGAATCAATCTATACTAATGAATATTTTTTTCTAATCAATCCCTAAGGGAGAACAGATGAATTGTTGAATTTAGTAATAAAATTTATTAATTAGAATTTGTTTTTGTTTTTTTATTTATCATAAGAAAGAATAGATGAATTATTAAATTTAATAATGAAATTTACTATGAATTGTGTGAAATTTTGAAATATTCAAACAAGATTTGATATATATATATATATATATACAGAATTGTTCACTTGCTACTTGGTGTGCAGAAAAATGTATGCACACCTTAAATATTAACCGTTAGATTCTATTGGGCAGTTAAAAAAATTAGTATATTCTTTCATATCTAACGGTTAAGATTTAATTTGTGCATAAATTCCTTACACACCAATGAGCAGGTGAACAGTCCTCTCTCTCTGTCCTCAAACCTGCCCAAATAGAATCTAACCCCTAATAAATACCCAGTAATATGTCCTAGGAAAAGGCACGTGCGTTGCACGTGGTGAATGTTTGGTA